GAAACTTAACTTTGCCATGGTTGTTGCAGACACTTTATATTTTTGCGTCAGTTTGATACTATAATCGATATACTGTAATATATAGAAAATTAAATATTTGAACGAATAAATAAACCATTTATACCGTTCGCTTCATTACATGGCTCTACTATTAGTTTCCAACCCTATGGCTCCCATTGTAAATAATCTCTCATTTGTTCTCTTCATCTTAATCTCCTTATTCTTGCCCTCATCTCTCTCCATAATCCTAACATATCCGGCAATCATCAACTTTGGGGACTCAAATTCGGACACAGGCAATCTCATTTCCGCCGGTATTGAAAGTGTTAATCCTCCGTATGGACAGTCTTACTTCAAGCTTCCCTCTGGAAGATATTGCGACGGCCGTCTTATTCAAGATTTTCTATGTATACATGCATCATTGCGAATCCAAACAGACTGATGTTGTTCTTCATATAAATGGCTTTCTTTCACATTCTACCAATTGTTTTGATATGTGTTTTTTTCCTTTTTTTTGTGTGTGCAGTGGATGCAATGGACATGCCATTTCTTAATCCGTATTTGGATTCATTAGGTTTACCAAATTTCAAAAAAGGGTGTAACTTTGCAGCAGCAGGATCAACCATTCTTCCCGCAAACCCGACCTCGGTTTCTCCCTTTTCCTTTGATCTTCAAATCTCTCAATTCATCCGGTTCAAATCTAGGGCCCTTGAACTACTTGCTAAAACAGGTGGGGCCCGGTTTATTTGAAAATGTTGTTGGTGACTATATATATTATCTGATGTATAAATGAAGCAAAGATTTGTTTGATGACTTTTGCAGGAAGGAAATATGAAAAGTACTTGCCACCACTTGATTATTATGCAAAAGGACTATACATGATTGACATAGGCCAAAATGATATGGCTGGTGCCTTCTACTCCAAGACTCTTGATCAAGTTCTTGCCTCTATTCCTTCCATTCTTGAAACCTTTGAAGCTGGACTCAAGGTATATCACTATTTCTGGCTGTTATTTTCATTAAGGGTGTATATCTTGTATAAACCGGATTGAGCTCATCCAAACCAGGCTAAACAAATTTTGAAAACATAATGCCAACTTTTGCAGAGGCTGTATGAGGAAGGAGGTCGAAACTTCTGGATACACAACACTGGGCCTTTAGGATGTTTGGCTCAAAATATTGCCAAATTTGGTACAGATTCAACAAAGCTTGATGCGTTTGGATGTGTTAGTTCTCATAACCAAGCAGCCAAACTCTTCAATCTTCAACTCCATGCTCTCTCCACCAAATTTCAAGTCCAGTTCCCTGATTCAAGTGTTACTTACGTTGAT